CTCAGCCAAAAGTAGTTTGCTACTATTGGAAGTGTTTTAATTGCAAGGAAACATGGAAGACTACAACCGTTAGACAAGAGAGAGAGAGAGAGAGGAAAGAAACATTGTGAGGGACTCGGTAGACAATCCAAAATGAACTGCTTGGCAACTGAGGAGTATATTAACTTTTAACAATGAGATTTCAGTTCATGCAGTAGACATGGTATTACGTAGAACAAATTGAAAGGGTTTATAGTAGCAGAAAAAAATTAATTAACTAAAAACATCGAAATAATTATTACTAATGAATGCAAAATACAGTTGCATTTTGATGCAAGGGGAATATGAAGAAGAACAGTGGGAGAAAGAAAAAAATATAAGACGTTAACATTTGGTAGTTGGCACCTAATGGTATAGAGCTTCAGCACAGATGCAAATTAGTAAACTTTAATGCAAACCTAAAACGTCGAAAACTCTATTGGCTTACTACAGGCTAATTTAATCATCGAAGATGGAGAAATATTTCAGCGTCATGGAGCTCCTTGACATATATCTCGTGCAAGAAAAATGCCTCTTGTGGATGAAGATGTTCAACATTTGGAAGTATAATATCCTGATCTCATAATAATTGATGAGTGATGGGAATGGAAGAAACAAGTGTTCCAAACGAAAACCATACAAGAGCTTTTGGATTACTGCTAAGAAGAATGGGAAAATATTCATAATGAGAAAATCTGAACCTTGTTTCATTCAATGTCACATCTGTTTAAGGCAGAGGCAGCAACAATAAATACTAACTCCGTACGTTGACGCTATGTAATTTCTAGCATAATAAAGATCACTTTGCAAAAAAGATTTTGTTAATTTAAGAAAACAGCTGAAATGTGGAACCTTTGCTGATGACCCAGTGTATTTGACATGGACTATTTTCAGCATCATTACGCTTAAGATGCGCTATCATCAATCCCATACAGCATTGACGAAAAAATGCAGTAACTTGTTTTGCTGATTTTCAAAGAACATATGATGTAGTGAGAATAGTGTACTGTTAATTACTGCTGATTTGGATGCCAAATTATCAAAAGAAATTAATTTACCAAAGTGACCAAGAGCTTCCGCACAGCAGTACCTATTTTTTTCTTATAAATACAACGGTTCAACCAAGTACCCTCTGGTCATAAACAAATTTCATTGTTTAGTTTATATGGGATCTATTTTGTGTTATATTTGTCACTGTGATGCGAGTTATTGTTCATGTATGCTGAATAATTGCTTTGCTATCTGATCCAATGATTGACCTCACGATAACTAGATGAAAGTAACATGAATAACTAACTCTTATATCCACTAAGTTACGGTCCCGAATGCCATGGCTTTTGGAGCTTTTATATTCAATGTCAGATGTTTTTGACATAAGTTTATGATAACAGGTTCCTATTGCTTTTCATCATTAATAATACAAGAATATTGGCAATTACTCATCTCAGAAATGAAATAGTAGCTTATCCATGCCCTAAAATAGTTTTCCTCTAACGCATTGCTTCCTTCAGGACTTCATCGATTAAAATGTTTTAAATACGAAGATCATCCACAGAAGATTTGCGATCAGGTTCTTCCATTTCACCTTTTTTCTTTTTAGAGTTTCTGTTGTTACAATGTAGGATACTTAAATATGATAAAAACAGAAAAAAAAATATTAAAAACACTAAATGAAATTAGCTAGACTATGTAACAGAACACATCTTAAAAAATGGGAAGTTTGAAATAAGGGAGAACGCTCTCCTTTGTGCACATATGTAGTTACATCAACTTAAACATAACTATAGTCAAATGAAGCCCTAAAGGACAAAACATATATATATATATATATATATATATATTCCATATATATATATTGAGAGTATTGATAGACAAACCTCTGAACTATGTAAAGTCTTTCACCTATCTTAGTAGCAAAGTCAATTACAGTGGAACTTTATATGATGAAATCATGCATCAGATTGTTAAGGTTACTAGTGCTTTCGGCAAACTTCGCCATCGCTTGTGGAATGAGCGGGGTATTCGACTGGATACGAAAATTCGAGTTTACAGAGCTGTTGTACTTGCCATCCTTTTGTATGGCTCAGAGTTGTGGACTCCATACAGGTACCATATACGCCAGCTAGATGTTTTCCATAAAAGCTGTCTGCGTGCAATCTGTGGAGTTAAGCTTCAAGATAGGACATCTAACGTAGACCTGTTTAACAGGTGTAATATTGGAGGAATCGAGACTTTTCTCATACAGTCTCAGTTACGGTGGACTGGTCATGTCTTGAGAATGTCTGATGACAGGATACCCAAGATCCTAATGTACAGCCAGTTAGATCAGGGCTACAGGAATGTAGGACGCCCATGGCTAAGATACAAAGACAAGCTGAAAAGCAACTTGTCAGCAGTTAATATACACACATAACAACATTGAGCGCTTAGCTTTGGAGCGGGTAGAATGGAGATCAACGTGTTTTAGTGGTCGCATCAATTTTTAATCTGCTTGTCTGGATCATCTTCAAGAAGCTAGAGCAAGATCTAAAAGGTCAGGCAATCTAACAGTGATCTCATCTCACAATCCTCACACTTGCTCCATATGTGGCCTCCTTTTGTAAATCACTAGCGGGTCTTAAATGCCATATAAGATTATATATAAATTTATAACTGAATCAATAAGCTGTAGATCCTTCGTCGAAACCGACGGGAGAGTCCCTTATATATATATATATATATATATATTTTGTATATATATATATATAAAATCATTATACATAATATAAAATGAAACATGATTTCTTATTAGAAATGTTATTATGAGAAGAAGTAAAAATCCTTTTTTATGTTTAAAATTTCTCTCGTCAAAATATCCTCCTTTAGTCTTCATAATTGCAGCACTATCTTTTTGAATACTTTGCAAAAGCTTCCCTATATATAAGTTTGATAATTGATTGTATTCTATTTTCAATGACTTTAAGAGCTTTTTTTCATTTTGGGGATGGAATGTTTTCATTCTTCTATCAAGTCCATCACATGCTCATTCTGGGGGTAGATTCATACTTTTTGTTTAATTTATTCTACCCGTCATGTCATGGGTTACATAAATATCTTGTACATTTTATTATTACGGATAAAATTAAATACCATAAAACATGTTTAAAATTAACTGTAATTATTGCATACACAATGGCAACATATTCTCTCGCTAGGAGAAAAGCAAAACAGAATAATCTGGATCAAATGTAGAAATTAAGAAATGAGTGAAGTTCGAATTCATTGCAACAGGTTATGCCATGGTAAATTATTCATGGGCTGATTTTTTGTATTTGTTTTAATTTCAATGACTGAACGATATTAAATATTAAATAGAATGTGTACAATTCTCAAGTGTTGGTCCTTGGTTTTCATTAATTTCATGTTACTCTGTAAGAAAAGTCGAAAAGAAAATCATGAATTTATATGACATATATTGGATGACGACTGATTATAAATTCCTATTTTGTACTTCAAAGTAGACTACGATCAAGAGCATCCAAATACGTAAATACGTATGATAAATGAATCATAACTAAAATAATTGCTCTGTCATTACAGATATTCAGGGAAAGGGTTGAGTTTCTTATTACTGGACAATTGGATAAGAAAAAGCTGTCAATCAAATGGCGACTAAAAGGTTTGAATAGTAATAATTGTATTAGTTGTTAGCTTGTGTGGAAACATTCAAGATTCATTGACAGAGCAGCCAGGAATAATGTCGCTTGATATTTATTAAAAAAAAAAAAACTTTCTATTAAAACAAATTTTCGGTAGAAATTGATTTCTTAAGTCCACTGTTATTGTACTTCCCAGTATTGATGGTGAATATATTCATAATCTTTTGTTCAAAACGGCGTGGTACGTAAACTTCTTGATTATGTAATTAATTTCTTTTCGAGCTACATGTGTTATCATCCACGTGAGTTATTGCCGCTGTTGAAAGTATTCATGTGATATAGTTAGAAGGTGAGAAGGAGATTGCTAACTCTTCCAATATGTTTTTAACAATATATAAGAAGAAACCAACTCCTCATAATATCAACTAAGAAAGCAGTCACAATATGCTGACGGTATTCAGAAATTAAAATATTCTTATTGTTATAAAAATGTCTGCATATTCAAACAAAGAAAAAATAATAATATATTGATAATGAGTGAAAAAAAATAACTGTAAGCGCTTGCATCCACAGATAATTTGAACAGGTATGACACAACGTATATCGAAAATTGAGGAATCGGAGAGCCGAGTTCGAATTCAAGTCGAACACATTACATTCACTTACGTGCTGCAAAATGGTATAAATCTTCTTCTTCTCCCCCAGTTATGGATAAATAGCAGGAAAAAAACCGAGTTATTAAAAATTAAATGTTACCTCCCTTTTTTAGGTAAAATATTTTTTAATTTACATTCTTAACGCATGCATAGATATGCAACCACTGAATTTTGTCTCAGATGAAACTGAAATCACTTGGAAAAATAAAATTATTTGAAAATGATTTTGGAATTTTGGAATTTGGAATTTTTCATAATCAATTTTCTACAGCCTCCAAAAATTTAATTCGTGAACTTAAAAGGAGTAAAACTTAAATAAATGGACATAATACATCTAAATTATTTAACCAAACATGTGCATATATATATATATAATTCTTTTAAAAAATATGATTCCTTTGCTATAAAGACATCAATATAATTATAATTATCAAAATTAAATTGTATTAAAGTATCAAGCACTGTTTCATCCTCGAAATTGAGTAATCGTTGTTGAAGAATTTTTATCATTAATTAATTTAATTTCAACTTAATTATTATTGTTTATTTTATTTTGTTTCATTAGCTTATGCGCAATTACGCTAATGGAACAAAATAAAATTTGTTAAAAAAATATATATGAACTGAAAATCGAACTCCGCTTTCAAACTTTACATATATATATATATATATATATATATAGAAAAACCAGAGAGAAAGAGAGAAATGAGAGAGAGAGAGAGAAATATTAGATATTGAATAAGCTGTGGGGATGGTGCACATATGAAACTTTACGTTTGACCGACGTCAAAGAAAACACATTTCTTATAAATACAAAAGAATAACAAATATTTTTACTAATTATCGAGTATTTTATTATATATATAATTATTATTATTCAGTTAAAAACAAAATTCATCTAAGATAATGACTATCAATATAAAGGAAGTTTATATAAAAATATTTGGACAATATATATATATATATATATATATATATATATATATATATATATATATATATATATATATATACATAATGTATGCTTTTTGAATCTAAATTTGTGATTGTCTAGCTCCAAATCAATCCTTGTTTTAATATAACCTATGAACCAAATACCTTGAACAAGATGACTCATTGAAGGACAGCGCGCTCCCAAAGAATGTATGCAAAACGCGCAACATCAGTACAACACAAACACACATATATATATATATATATATATATATATATATATATAATCAATTTTTTTTCTCAAACAAATGTTCCTTTACACACAAGGGTTCAATGCGTGAAATTATTAACTCGAAATTTTCAATATTTCACTGCATTTAGAGATTTTTATTTTCAATAAAAAGGACGAGAACAGCGAGATGTAAAAATGTAGCAATATTAAATCTAATAAAATAAATAATATTTTGAAATAAAAGTCTTTTCTCGTCTCTAATATGCAGAGGAAACATTTCTTTTTCGCGCTATGAATGTCACCAGTGACGGTTAGCCGTAACAAGACGATAGCGATTTGTCCAAAGCCTCTTTGTCCAAAGAAAATGGCGTTAACTACATCACACAGCCAATTGCCTTGCAATTCTACGGAGATATATTTCGCCTTCGTGATTTATCGGTTGGCAAATATAAAATGTATTTGTCATTCTACAAATCAAAATAAGATCTGCAATAATCACTGGCAAAGATTTTAATTGGGCGCACAAAAATGTTCTCAATACGTTTTTGTTTCTTTTAGAAAAGACAGATAGAAAAGTAGAAATATTGATGAAATAGAGACATTATATAAAAATTGGGAAAAGCAATGAATGAAAAGAAAAAATGAAAACGATAGCAAGATACAATTTATCATTAAGGTAAGGAGGTTCGCGCCAATAATCCGAATTATGAGTTAGCCAGGCAGAACAGTTAAAAAGTGTAGTTTAAAAAATACAATAGAAAAAGAAATAAATCATATTAATGATTATCCCAAAAATATGACGAAATGATGTGAAATACCGAGATTAGTATATATATATATATATATATATACATAAAAGAAAGGAAAGATGAAAGTAAATATAAAACATTGAAGAAGCTAGAAATGAAGAAAGAACAAAAGAAATGAATCCTAACAGAAAAGGAAACGAAATGGAAAAAATTATAAATGTTTGAAAGAACGAAAGAAAGAAAATGTATTATGAATTATTTTGTAGAAAGAAAGAAAGAAAGAAAGAAAGAAAGAAAGAAAAGAAAGAAAGAAAAAAAAGAATAAAGAAGAAAAGAAAGAAAACGAAAGAAAAAAAAAAAAAATAAAAAATGAAAAAGAAGGAAAAAAAAAAAAAAAATAAAAAATAAAAGAAATTCACGTTAGGGAAAGAAAAAGGAAAAGTAGGAAAATGATTGTCAGAAGAGATTTATCAAGAAAAACGAGATTTTTTCACATTTTCTTTTAGCAAAAAAAAACAAAAAAAAAACATCGTTTTTGCAGTGAGAAACAAATGTAAAACTTTACGACCTTTGAGATGGAAAAAATAAAGCAGGAAAATATTTGATTATGTGAATGCATAAAGTAGAGTTTGTCAATAATAACAACAACAACAATGATATTAATAATAATAACAATAACAGTAATAATATTAATAAGAATAATAATAAGAAGAAGAAGTAGAAGTAGAACAACAAATACAATAAAGATAATGAAACAAAGTTAAGATATTTTCAGAATATGAAGTAAAATATAAAGAAAACAACCGAAGAAAGCAATAAAATGGAGGAGATAAAAAGAAAAGGACAAAAGAGAAATTATGAATAAAATAAAGATTCCAGTGGGGGCAAATAAAAAATTACAGTGTAACCCGGATGTAAGAGACCCGGATATAAGAGAAACCCGGATATAAGAGAGATTTTCTCTGGTCCTAAATTAGAGCCTGTGTTAATGTATATAAATTAGACCAAACCCGGATATAAGAGAAACCCGGATATAAGAGACTTCGTCTCCGGTCCCGACAACTCTCTTATATCCGGGTTACCCTGTATAAAAGTATGAAAATGAAGAGAAAGAGTAAAAAAGAAGTGAAAAACGAAGATTGGCCAAGACAGAAAGGTACTTTACAAGTAAGATGAAGAGTAGGAGGAAGGGGAAACAGGTGTACAATGCAAAAAAGAAAAGAAAAGAAAGAATAAAAGAAAGAAGTGAAGGAAAGCATAAGTGATATAAAGAGAACAGCCGAAGAAAAAGAGGAAAGCAGATGTAGACAAGAAAAGAAAAGTGCTTGGGACAGAGAAAATAGAGGTTTTCAGTTTTTTTTGTTTTTTTTAAATGGTACACAGACGGAGACGACCATGCGTAGCATACGTTCAGGCAGGTGCGCCACACATTTGCAAGTGTGTTCAAGAAATTCGCACTTAGTGACAGATATGCATTTTTAAAAATCAAATGGGGGTGTCGCTTTTATGAGTCTCCTTGTTTGAATAGGAGTGCATGAGGTGCAGATGTGGCCGGAGATACAGGAAGAAAGCAGGGAAGAAAAGAATAAAAATCCAAGGAACACGGACGGGGACAATTTAGTGTGTTAAGAAGTGAGTGACATTTCTGGACGTGAGTTCTGTTTATTTTCATATTATTATAAGATTATTAATAATAACTCAAAGGTAGAACGAATGAAGAATGAAGTATCTCATCAAAGTTAACATAAAACGAAATCTATTTCGAACAGATGTTTTCTTTCCCATGCTTTTCAAATATTTAGATGATATATTGAATGAAGAAAAGGAAACAAGAAATAGCGAGAAAAATACCTAAGGAATTGAGGTGAAAAGGACGACAGAAGAGATCAAAAGGCATAGTCAAAGGTTAACGCAGCAACAGAAAGGAAGTTGTAGGGTGTTATTATCGGACATGTTCTGAAGCCTTACATCATATAAAAAAGTCATTTCATAGTAGCAAATTACACTCACCCGTCTTTAACTTGAAAAAGAAGATATATTAGATCATCAATTCTTTGGTTTTTCAGACAGGCACGATTTAGAATTGATTGCTAAAAAGGACAATTCATTATATATGCAAATGACAGAGTTCTTATAGCTGAAACGGAGGTACCTCGACAGAAGGTAGTAAATGAGAGAAGAAAAGTCTAAACATCATTTGTAAGAAGTCAAAATGCATGATTGTCAAAATAGAGCCCAACATTGCGATTTACAAATTAGAGCTTCCAAATATTAACATTTAAATATATAGAAAATGTTTTTTTTAAAAAGTCCCAAAAGACGACAAAGAAATCCGAAGGCATATTGGGACAGCAAAAGTTGCTTAAAAAAGCTAAGTAATGTATAAAGAATCGGGAAAATCTCGTTAGTAACAAAGAAAATTCTATTTAATTCTTATGCAATATCGATCCGCTTATATGGTAGAGAATGCGGGATAATCCTATCACAGATGGCAAAATGTCTTCAGAAATATTGTTATACAGGAGGATGCTGAGAATGCCATGAAGTGAACATGTGAGCAATGAAAAAAAAGAGCAATGGAAACCAAAAAACGTGATAATGAAAACAAAAGGGACATTTATATTTAACATCATAAAGAGAGATTAGAATTATTTAAGAAACTTAATGAGGAAATTGTCACTTAGAGGATATTAAAAGCAAGAATGATATGGCAAAGGACGAATAACCTTCCTAACGTGCTTGTGTAAATCAGTGTTTCCTAACCTAATGATATGGCAAATCAATAACCTTCCTAACCTAAAATCAGTGTTTCCTAACCTAAGGTCATATGGCCAAAATGAGCGATGGAAAATTTCAGGTAGCCATGAAAACTTAATAATTTGTACTGGGTCACCAGGCTGATATTTTGGCCACAGCTTATTGAATGGTCTATAGAACTTTTATTGACTATATTTTCTTGTTTTGCGCCACATATAAGAAAAATTGTAAATATAAATATGGATAATAAATGGTCGTTTCATTGGAGATTCGAAATATTTTAGATTCTTGTGAAATTGTGTCCAATAAATAGTCATAATTTTATATTTATTGTATATATTCTATGTAAAACGGAAGTCATTTTACACTCTAATAATTTCATAGGGCAAAGAAAAATAATGGGTTTAATGTGGAACATGAGCTAAAAAAGACTAGGAACTACTTGTGTAAATGATTGACAGAACAGGGATTAGGAAAGATAGCGAAAAGACAAAATTTACTAAGAGCTACAAGGTACAGGAAATTGAATAGAACCATGATCGCCCTTGACACCGAGAGGAAACTCGAATATTGTTCCAAACAATGCAAATTTTATCAATGATATTAGACTGATATTTGAGAATTAAAAAAATTAATATAGTTGTATTCCAAAAAGTAATCAATAAAAGGAATTTATTTAGAGCGAATTCTTAAAACCATTGAAGAGATTTTACAATTATAAACATCTCAGAATATTCTTGCTACAACTCATAAAGTAGCACTACGAAGTTAATGGATTACAACCCATTAGTATAGTAGTGCCACTACATGCACTGCAGATAGGGCAACAATGGTGTGTCTAGGGTAAGATAGCCTGAAAGTTGCCTTTTTCTTCAGGCTGTTTTTGTATGAAGTTTTCTTTCTTCTAGATTGGTTGCCACGTCAAGGCAAAAGAACCATGTTATTTCTGTTATTTCTTTCACAGCTTTGGATAAAGTGATTGAGTCATGCCCTTCTCAACTGCGTTTGTGTGAAAGTGGACGTTACGATCTCGGCCGGAATTCGAACTCAGCCCGTCGATTTCACTTTTCAAATGACTAACTACTTACACT